AAAAAAAAAAATGATGGAGAAGTGTTGTTTACAAAAGAAAGAGTCCAGATATTCAAGGACAAAAATGTTGTAATCAAAAGAAAAAAAGGATGAAAATGGATTGTTTGTAATTAACTTTAGCGCGAGGAATGAAGATATGATGACTCAGCAAGATATAAGTGTAGAGTGGCATAGAAAGCTAGGTCACATAAGTTATGCGAATCTTAGGAAACTACAAGGGATATGCCAAGGCCAAACAAGTCAGACTCCCATTTGATACAGAAAGAAGTAGGGCTGGAAAACCATTAGAGATAATTCATAGTGACGTGTGTGAACCAATTGATCCCACCACTTATGACAATAAGAAATATTTCCTTACATGTGTGGATGATTATACGCATTTTTGTAAAATATACCTGTTAGAAAATAAGAGTGAAGTGTATACCTTTCTGAAGGAATATGTAAATGAAGCTGAGTGTCACTTCAATACAAAAGTGAGAAGAATAAAATGCGACAATGGGGGTGAATATAAGAGCAACGCCTTGAGAGAATGGTGTAAGAACAAGGGGATTGTAATGGAATTTACTACACCAAATTCGCCACAGCTAAACGGCACTGCCAAAAGGATAAACCGTACTATTGTGGAAAAGGCAAGAGCATTGATTTTTGACTCAGGTTTAAATGAGAGAATGTGGGGTGAAGCTGTACTCACTTCTGCATACCTGCTAAATAGAAGTCCAACAGTGACAGTGAATGGAACGCCAGCAGAGAAATGGTATGGTAAAAGACCAGATCTGGCTGGATTGAAGATTTTTGGTTCAGAAGTGTACACTAAAATTCTCGGACCATTGAAAAAGTTGGAGAGTTGTAGCAAAAAAGGAATATTCGTTGGATACAACACAAATGGCTACAGAATAGGGGATCCAAATACTGAAATATGTCTCCAGAGATGTGACATTCACAAGTAAACCTGTGACAGCAAATAAACAAAAGGAAATGGAAAGACTGACAGATCCAGAAGACAAGCCAAATACTCCAGATCAGCAAGACAGCGAAATGCAGCAAGAACCTGAAGCTGACAACAATGAAGAAGAACCAACAGATACTGAAGAGGATGAAGAAAATGAAAACGCTGTCCACAAGGATAATGGAAGGAAAAACAGTGGACAACATGAACGTGGATATGCATTGAGACCAAGAAGAACATTTGAATGCACCCAAGGTACCGAGACTATCACACAGAGAGTCAAAAGGAGGGTATGCTCATCTATACATATGACAAGTACACGGAGAGCGGAGACAGCGAAAAGTGTAAGAAAGCCATTAAAGAGGAAAAGGATTCGCTCTACCAAAACAAAACTTTGATATATGTAAACAGAGAGAAAGCAATGGGCAAGAAAATTCTGACCAGTAAATGGATTTTCAAAATAAAGGATGATGGAATATACAGAGCCAGACTGGTTGTGAGAGGATGCCAACAAAAGGAAGGGGAAATAGATTTCAAGGATACCTTTAGCCCAGTTGTTGACATGAATTCTCTTAGAGTACTGTTTGCCATAGCAGCACGTAAGAATATGAACATGCAAACCTTTGATGTGAAGACTGCCTTCCTGTATGGAGACCTTGAGATGGAAACCTACCTGGAGATACCAGAAGGATACAAGAACACTGGCAAGATATGTCTCCTGAAAAAGGCATTATATGGCCTACAACAAGTACCATCGCAATTGAACAAGAAGTTGACAACCTTTCTAAAAGAATAAGGTCTAAACCAACTAAAATCTGACCAATACATTTTTAAGAATGATGCCAATAGTTTGTTCATGGCCATTCATGTGGATTACGGGATAATCATGGGAGTGTATGAAAGACAAATAGAGGAAATTTTGCTGAAACTGGAAAATCAATTCCAGATAACAAAGACCACAAATCCAAAAGTCTATTTAGGAATACAAATTGAGAGGCAACCAGATGGGATACATATCTCTCAAACCGACTATGCAAGCCAAAGGTTGGAAAAATACAACATTCAAGAAAGTCAAGAAATGAAAGCATCCATGGCCATGACCCCACCAACAAATGACGAAGAAGAAAATAACACAAGATTTCCTTACAGAGAAGCTGTAGGGAGCCTGCTATATATGGCATTCGCTGTAAATGTGGAAAGTCGAACCTTGGAAAATCCTGACAAAATAGCTGTTCAGAATGTGAAAAGGACCCTTAGGTATGTGAATGGTACACGAGATTCAGGAATAAAATATACCTCACCTGACTCCGAAACTGTGAAACTGGAAGCATTTAGTGATGCTGATTATGCAGGGAATGTAAAGAATAGGAAGAGTGTAATGGGATATGTAAATATCATCATGCTCTAGGAAAGAGAATATTATCGCATTATCAACCACTGAGGCCGAATATATTGCAGCAGCTGAGTGCTGTAAAGAATTGAAATATCTAAAGACGTTGATAGAGGAGTTGACAGGAAAAAGGGTGGAAGCTCAACTGTGTGTCAACAATCAGAGTGCAATCAAGCTAATAGAATCTGGGCAAGTAATGCGTAGGAGTAAGCACAAAGACGTTAGGTATCACTACATAAGTGAACAATTGAAAGAGAAACTGTTCTCAATCAAATATTGTAACACTGAAACTCAGGTGGCAGACGTTTTAACAAAACCGCTATCACCAGAGAAATTTACAATGTTTAGAGACATTATACTTAAGAAGAAATAAGTCTGATTGTGATAAGACTGAGAAAATTTTAATTACATGTACTAATTTTGTAATCTGAAGACCAAAATTACTATGTTATTCAATTTACTAGCTTTGCGAAACAGCTAATAATGTTGACAACATTTTGAAATTAAGGAGGAAAATGAGAAATGTGTTTGTAACATTTTGAAATTAAGGAGGAATGTTGAGAATCTAGTAATGTAAAAATGTTCAAGTCGGTAATAGTGATCTATATTCATTTGTTTTTGTTTTGTATTATAATAAAATTTCTTCTCATCCAATATGGCTGTTAAGTGATATATAAGCATGGCACAAAGAAAATCAACAGATAAAATTACAGATGATAATTGTTATGCCCCAAATTTGAGATAGTAGAAGAAGCCACTGCCCAAAAATGTTCGCGCCTAGCGAACAGTGTTTCACAGTTATTGCCGCAACTTGTAAACATCAGTAATGGCAAGTAGGTTAGGAATCTGCTTGCTCAGCAAGGCTGTGTCCTCACAGCGCTAGAAGTTTGCCTCACTCGGGCACTGGAGAATCGGAAGAGATTGCTTACACAGCAATCAGACGCAAGGGGTCTGCCCACATCCCGGTAAGACCCAATGAAAACCTAACTTTAGGAAATTAGAACACAAGGGAGGAGCGATCTACCCCCTTGTCGTCCACGCTGAATCGGCAAAGTAAAACTATAAATTAGGGAAATTTGAGAGACTTGGGATTCCTGTTTTAAACAGAATAGAGAGTCGTCAGCCGAAGGCTCTCTTCAACATGGGTCTGACCAGCGGAGGCAGTGGGCCGACATCTTGTACTACAGGTGGGTTTGTTCACGCATATTAGCCATGCTGATTGAGAATATTGTTGTTTGATAGTAATGGTGATAACTGTGTGGTTGAGTTATTTTTAATGTGTAAACTCCAGTGTACCCAGTGAGCCCTTAGGGTAAGATACTAGGATCATGTAGAAGCCTAGGATATTAGTCAGGCAATAAGTGACTTATATGTCGGTGCCAGGGTTATGGTTAGCGCGTAGGATATATATAGTATGTTGGTTTTAATGTGTGGGTTTAAGATGTAGAACTAGGGGTAGCTTGTATAAGAGTGAAAGAACGAAGGACAGTGTAACTGTATTTAATGAATAGTGAGAGAACAGGATTACGTGGAAAGAGTAATCCTTGCCGATAGTCAGGAGTCGAGAGAGAGAGACTCCAGTTTACACCCCCGAAGGGGGAGGTTCCTAGCGTAGCTGCAAATCACTTCACGATGTAGTTCCGACTGAACTTCGGCCTTGTTAACAGTGTAAATAGTGTATATCATGTAAATATCAGAGTGTAAATAGATAGAATAGATAGAGTAGGATGTACCGGGGATTGTGATTCACCCTCCACAACCACCTTCCTCGACCCATCCAGAAGGTCCTATTCAAAATGAGAGTTGCAACCGCAGCCGAACGCTTACGAGGTGCTAAGAGTCGCCAGGGATAGGCTCCTGCCTCACCGGCAGAGTACGGTAGCCTTGATCGTAACGCCCTCCCAAGATCCGAAGATAAAGTGTAATATTAATGGATTACGTGGCTACCTGTAAACTATATGCGGAGTGGGCAAGAAGGGGCACGAAGATTTGTCAGGGAGTAGTACCAACAATCGAAAGGGCAGAGAATAGACGGTGGCAGCTTTTTGAGAGAAGGAAACCCCGAAGAGGAGAATCCTAGCTCAAGGGTAAGCTAGGAGTATGGTGTTAACAGGGCAAGTGACGGTGGAGGCAAGGAAGGATACCTCCATGCCCCCCTGCGCCGCTAGGGCATTACAATCATCAGTGTGGGTTTCTCTGTAGTTTTTAACTTCTTTTAAGTTTCTTGGGGTGGGGTGAGACTCAGTCCACTTGGTACGTCAACCAATAATTGGCCTACTGTGCGAGCCCCAGGTGATAGATGATGATGAATGTGGAGCAGTTGGTGGTATGAGAATTGTCAAGGGAAACCAAAGTACTTAGAGAAAACCTGCCTCAGTGCCACTCTGTCCACCACAAATCCCACATGACCTGACCTGGACTCAAACCCAGGCTGCCACAGTGGGAAGCTGGCAACTAACTGCCTGAGCTATGGCACATCTGGGTTTCCACGTAACAGATGTGAATCTACTGGGCGGTAACCTAGAAACCATAAGGAATAACAGAAACTTTAACTGACACTAGTTATGAGGTTGGTCAAACNTTTCTTCATAGTCACCGCTGTGAAAGCCTCAAATCTTACATAAGTATATGTTACTGTCTTGTCACCAGAATGTAGGGCAAAATCTTGACGTAGAAGGAACTGGAACGATACAAAAATAAACATCCACAAATAAGAAGTATACAACACACTCTAAAGAGGTAAAAAATTAATCACGACGTCACATTCAAGAAGGCAAGGAGAAACACAAATAAAAAACTAATAATAGCATTCTATGTAAATAGTACCAGTAACATATAAAAACACAACAGGAGGCCCCAGAAGATAAAAACCACCTACAACACATGACCAATAACACAGAATTTTATGTTGTAATGACATGTGAACTTTTAAAAATTTTAAATAATTTTTACAATTTTAGTGGTAATTATATTAATTATGACAATTATAATAATTTAACACCAATAAGGATCCATATTAGGAGACTTCAATAACATGAGATGTACTTGATGAAACTGCCTGAGGATGGTCCAAAGTATGGAATGAAACATATAGCAGTTATTAAATAAAACCAATGTAAACAATTAAGACTGGTTTATTTTGAAATATTTGTGTTGATGGCCAGAGTATCACAAACCATGACACACAACAGGATGCAAACAATAAAGGGAAAACACTGCGAATGATTCGTCCAAATCAGTTATTCTCCACAAGCCAAAGAAATTGAAATACCTCTTACTTACACTATGATATGAATAGGAATCCTTTTCACTGGTTGGTCTCCATGTTGTCCAAGCAATCACAATAAGGATTATGCACAGGGCCAGAAAGATGAACATGGTGAGAACACATGTTCGGAATGAGTTGTCCCGTCCCACTTGCTTTAATGCCTCCACTTCTTGCACTGTGTAATCACCACGTGCCATGGCAGTTCATATAATTACTGCTGCTGAACAACAAATTCAAAATGACATTGTATGAGATTTGAGGTTTTCATGGTGGTGCAGATTCATATTGCAGTCTTCTGATTAATGGCATCATATCATAGAAGGAAATCATAAAGTAAAATGACACAATGCAGTATGGTAGGTGGTTACAAATATTTTGGTCAAACACACTACCTATGTCTTATGGGAAGAACTGAAAATGGGCACAGTATATGCCTTCAAAAGACTGGTAACGACCTACCAGACTAGGTAATGTCATTACCCAGAAAACTACAGTGTGACCATTACAATGATTCCTGTCTGTCTTAATTAAGAAAAAATAACATCTGTGTGTGAACTTACTCTTGTCACATGTAAACTGCACTAGATGGGCTTATTATTGGTTCCATCACCACAATTTGTGTAAAAGCTTTAGGTATTATTATTTTTTACAACATGTTTCGGCCCTTTATGACCATCATCAGGTAAAATATTTTCACTCACTCTCTACTCTACTGCTATTTTCCTTATATTGGCCTGTGTTTACAATTGGGGGAGGTCAATGTGATACCGAAATACAATATTTTTAATGCACTAGGCAGAAGTGAGTAATCAGCTTCATGCTCTGGCCGCTTTACCTCTGAGGAAAGAGCCCCAGTACCCATTGGATAAAAGGCTGGGTGGTCCCCAGAACTGATGTGGAAGATGTGGGAAGACACAACTTTCTTGCACCTGCCAGGAATCAAACCCTGATTCCATAGTCATCCAGCTCATAGCTTAGTCACTATACTGACTGTGCTGTCCACTTCAAGAGAATTTAGATTGCAACTGATCAACTGAACTTGAAGGAAGGGGGCTCTGTTTTATAGTCAGTCACTATATTGCTCAAAAATGGAGAGGTGGAACCACATTACAAGGCCTAGATTCTTGGAATAATATAACTTAAAAGATTTCATAAGCTCTCATTCGTAATTTTTAACCATGAATGTTCAATGTGGCTGAGATTTGAAGTTACTATGGGAGTAAATACTAGAACTAAAGGCTTCTGGGTTATGATACCATGTAGTACTGTTCAGCATACATTCATCTCTAATTTTCGCCTATTTTCATCTGAGTACCTATAAAATGCAAACTACATTTCCTATACAACAGTCCCTACTTAACAGTCTCTTCTGTTTGCTTCTGACTTTAACGTTTTCTCAACTACTTATGCTCTATATCATCAAATAGTAATACAATTGTCAATGTCGTGGAAGCAAGTGATTGTAGTCTATTCTGAGATACTATCATAAGATTGAAGAAACTATGAAAAACCTCTGGATAGTCGACCTCCTGATCAAAAACTGACCTTTGGAACTCCCAAACACAAAGTGAGAATACTAATCACTTGATTGTTGCATTCTGTGTACTTCTCTGTTCCTCTTGCATGTTGCCTGTTCCACCAGTCTTATTCTTTGTACTTTCTCAAACGCAGAATATATAAGAAAGTATTGTATTGGTAAAAATATCATTGTCAGGATTTTGCCGGACTTACATGTCTTCAAGATCTCTGAATATGCAAACGTTGTACTGTAGTATAAGAAAATACTGTAACTGTGAAAAAATCGGTCTCCATACTTTGACAAATTTAGACGTTCCCTGCCTTTTCAAATAAAAAAAAAAGTGGTTTTAGGAATGCAGACTTTCTGTCTGTACGACCATGACCTCGATAACTCCATAACAATTCAACAGATTTCATTCATATTCGATCTTTAAGAGTTTTTCCATCATAGATTGGTGTCCGGTGAATATAAACATTCTAACTCAGAAAATATGAACCCTTCAGATGGTCCCCAGAAAAGTAATGGGCGAGTTCTTTTTCGAAAACAGTTCAAACGATTAAGAGTCCAGTTCAGTAATTTATTGAGATCACATCCTTACACAAAACTACATGGGTGGTATCTTCAGGAAAATAAAGATATAGGCCTACACGAACATGTCCTAGTTATACATGTATAATCAGTGATCAATAATGACGTACCGAACAAGGGTCAATTTCTTTTCCAAAGCAACGCAATCATGGTCAATCATATACGGGGAAGCATGTGCAATCTCTTCACCGATTTTTAATTCTTGTGTTGGGTAAATATTATTAAAACCTATTACAAACTTCCCTGCTAAATTATTTCCTCCACCTAGCAGTTTGATATAGCGGTAACGTTCGAAACTACCCGGAAGCTATTCGGTTTAAATCCAAGCTGGGATGCTTGACATTGTGACTGAGGTTTTCGTGATTGTTCAGGAGAATGCTGACATAATACCTTGAAATAGACCACGACCATTACCTTCCAAATTCTTACACGCGTCATTTTTCGTAACCATTTCCACATTGCATTCGACAGTTGGAATGGAATAGTTAAATAAACAGAGATATTTCTTTTATTGAAAGCCGTCACAACACAACAATTAATAATATATGTTTGTAGTATCAAGTACTACTTTACTACATGTTTCGGTTATCAAAAAGCCATCGTCAGGTAAATACACTTAAAAACATCTTAGCTATTGAATTGCGTGCTAATTACACGATGTAGTATTAGATTTTTCAAATAGTATACAATAATATATAATATAAAATTATATTAAGAGTCTTAAAATGTACTAGTTACATAATTAAAGTACAGTTAAGAATTGTACATATAATTATATTCCAAAGTATGTAGTTGTAATCGTAATTCGTGACTAAACAGAATAGAAGGAAAGCTGTTCTCGCTTCGTCTATATCGTCTAGATTCATTAAGTCAAAGTCAAAGTCACATTGCGACTGACGGTTGGTCAGTCTGTCTGTCTTGGCGTCCAGCCCCAGCCGAGGCTTATGACCAGATGTTTCTTCTTATATGAAAGTTACTGTCCTGTCAATTTGAGTCGCCCTCTCTGACGAGAGGTCGGGTCTGTCATTGTCAATCATAGTCTGTATTTGTAGGTCCATTGTCAGTATTTACAAACGTATATTTACAAGTTTAATCTTAATTCCTATTTCTATGTACAAAATATACAAGGCCTCCATTAGTCCAGGCTCAGTACAGCAGATTATGCACTATTTCTAGTAGTATTGGTTACCACGGCAGTCTAGTCAATTGAACGGTCGTATGCCTGACCGCCGCCAAGTTTAAGCCTCTTATACTTTCTGTGTCGGGCTTCGCCTTGTCCGCTGTTGCGAACATTCTCATTATCATGAGTTTGTATGACTTCTGCTTGTTGCCTGCATAATTTTGTTATATAATCATATACGTATGGGATTTTGAATGCCATGTGCAAATCACGGACCGGTGTGCGCATTTGAAAATTGCCCGTGGTGCGGAGAACCTTGTTTTGCAGGCGCCGCAATTTCACTAGATGAGTGTCTGCCGCAAACTCCCAGACGGGACTAGCATAAGTCATTACGGATCTAATAAGAGCTTTGTGGAGGGTCAGTTTAATGTTAGCGCTCAATCGCTCACTTTTGAATAGGGAATATACTCTAATGAAGGTTCTGAAGGCCTTGGCTTCGATCACTTCTATGTGCAATATCTATTTAACTTTCTTATCGAAGATTACACCTAGATATTTTGCACTATTTACAAATAGAATATTTCGTCCATTTAGAGTGAAACAAGACTCAGGCGGTCGACGACCACGAGAGAAGTAGACCCCCTGAGTCTTATCGTCATTAATTTTAATATTCCAGCGCTCACACCAGGTCTCCATTGAGCTGAGACCGCCCTGGAGTTTTCTAACAATAAAACCCACCTTGCGATCTGTCGCATATAGGCAGGTGTCGTCTGCAAAGAGGGCCAGGGGAACACCATGTGTTTGGGGGGCATCATTCATGTACAAATTGAAAAGAGTAGGGGAAAGGACCGAACCTTGTGGCACCCCTGCTTGCATTTCCCTTGGCGTTGACATTTCGCCTTCAACCGAGACCCTGAATTTACGCTGAGAAAGAAAGGACCCAATAAGCTTGGTCAAACTGTTCGAGAATACAAATTTTGATAACTTATACAGCAAGCCTGAGTGCCACGTGGTATCAAAGGCTTTTTCGATGTCCAAGAACACCGCAGCCGTAGACATTTTATTGTTAAAATGAAGGATCACGTGGTCCGCCACCCTCATACATTGCAATGTCGTGCTGTGATGTGCACGAAAACCAAACTGGCTTGCGTTGAGCAAGCTTCTTTCTTCAATATGTTTTTGGAGGAATTTCAAAATCGCTTTTTCGAATATTTTTTCCTGTCGTGGACAGGAGGCTGATCGGACGTAAATTTTGAGGGAATTTCGGGTCTTTTGCGGATGACAAACGACATTCATTTCGTTTGACAGACGACTAATCTTAGATGTGTGTTCATATACGAGTATTTCACGATTCGAAATAATCGAAAAGATAACAGAACATTATGTTTTCTTGTAGTTATCCTCCTCTGGGTAAACATATTTCTAATTATTCGGGGCGCATACGTAAAGAGACCCACAAAAATGCATCTTACAGTAAAGAATTAAGAACTCAATTATTATGTAATCCAGACACTAAATAGAACCTGTAATCATCAGTGCGAACCGTTACCTCAGTCAGTAGTTTACGATTTTTGATTATACAAAACAAATAAATGAGCTCTAACCTCCCAATGTTAAATTTATTTCCTTTCCGTATCTGAATACATAGGCCTACTGCGGCAATAATGAATAATCTTAGATTAAACACTTCACATGAACAGCAAAATATAATTCATGGTTTTCAGTACGAAACTTGAGGTTCTCGCGGCGCTGAATATTTTGATTACGGTCTTCTTAGGTGTGACACCATGTAGTTTAATAGACAGATGTCAACCTTTTGCCATGAAGACGGAAGCTGCAGCAACTTCTGCATCAGTATTATCTCTTTGGCAGACGACACACTGTCATGTTCAAGAGACCGTAATCTTCACTGCTTCAAAGTTCAAATTTTGTACTTCCACAAATTAAGTCTACCTGTTACCGTCACATTATTTACTCAACGATAGTTCAAACCTCTTACCTGTTCTACAGAACCAGAGGAGGTAATGTCCAAATTTCTGGTTTCTGCGGTTCACTGTACTATAGTTTAAATATGGTGTCCTGCACTTCTTCTTCCCCTATCTCATTTCATAAAATGCATGGGCGCTGGCAGAGGGGAGGCCAAACATCTGGTACTCCCTGTTTTTTTTTTTGGAAAAACCAAAATTGAAAATTAAAGAAATACACTAAATATTAATATCGAAACTCAACATTATTAAAACTGTAATCTTCCATTCTGAATTCGAGAACGTTTAACAACTTACTGGACAAAATCGGCCCTTAATATAACAAACATTTCTTAATGACTTATATGAAAATCTTTAAAAAAAAATTGGCTCCCCACCCCCGTTCGAGTAGCCAATGACACCTCGATGGTGCGAGATCGTCTGTTAATCTGCAGTGCAATTAGCAGCAATATATTTATGATGACCACAGATCCTCTACCGTTTGTTTTGCGCCTTTCTTTCCCCATAGCTTTTATCCGATATCTTCGTCTTACCTGCTGTGTAACTACACCGGCGGTTAGCTCTATACTGATACCCCATTTCCAGCATCCTGAGGATACTTCCTCCAGTTTAAATTATGACGGGGCCGGCGCGGAAAGCATACAATAGGCAATGTTAAATACGCAAAGGCGGATGCGGAACTCGACAGTCTAAATGACATTTGTGGTGGGCACTGTCCTTGAAGCTTTCTCGGAATTCTCCGTTGCCCTCATTTATTCCAATATTTTCGTCGTCGTCGTCGTCATCATCGTCATCATCATCATCACCATCATCGCCTCCACCACCACCATCGTAATTTATACGATTTCCGAGATAACTAAACAAGAATTATTACGCCATGCATACATTGCCTAACTTGTAAATTCAACAATTAACGTCGATCTTCCAAACACACATCTGTATTACCAAACATTGGTTTTCCGAACGTGTGAATATTAACGTGTCTTTTCGAAGCAATAATTAAACGAAGGTTTCTCCCACTTCAGTAACTGTATTATTAGCTACTTATATTAAGTGCAGGTTCTGGATGTAATAAATATTTAAGCAACTCTTTGTATGAGATTTGAAATTTTCATGGCGGTGAAGATTCAGATTGTGGTCTCTGGATTACGACACATTGTATCTAGTAGGTGGTCACCATTGTTTCAGACAACACGTGCTGCCTCCATCTTCAGAGAACTGCATAAGTCGCAATCCAGAACACCATACTATCAATTCTTACTCCCCTAATATGGCTAATAATCCATCTGTAATTTAAACATCTTAAAGCACGGCTGTGGATTCTTTGCATTCCTTTTCCGATGATGGGGAGAAGGGGCTGTTGAGAGGATGTTTTGTGTGTTTCAACGCTGACGTCACCAGCTCAGCTAAAAGGCCGAATGACAGGACTTGGCAAGGATGTGTAAGGAAGCGGTCGTGGCCTAATTGGAGATATTCTACACGCATAAGTCAGGAGAGACTGAGGAAAACCACAAAACGGCAGGCTAGCAGATGTCCTGGCCGAGATTGGAACCAGGAACTTTCAGAATACAAGCCACAAGCATTCCCTCCCGGGAAACCTCGCTCAGTTGAGGCGATGAGGACTGAGCTAACACATGATCGAGACCAATGACGGATTCTGGTGTTACATCTTATGCTTTTCATATGTGAGAGTTCATTTCTGAGCCTCGTCCCCCTCAAATGATATATCCCATACTTTTAAATGGCAGTATGGCAATCGCAACTCCCCGCCAAGGCAAAGGAAGCCAGTTCTGAACAAGCCCGATAAGCATTAAGAATACCGTTTTCCTGGATGTGATGTCGTGTAATTTTGTACAAGTCTACAAACGTTTCGGTGGAAAGTACACTGCCTCCATCTTCAGGATTGAGTGAGCCGGGTAAGTATGCAAGCAGCATGCAGAGGGCTGCTTGTTGGGCCTATTCTTTTGAGCTGAAGATGGAGGCAGTAAGTTCCTCCGAAATGTAGATAAACCTTTATCAGACTATATGGCGACACATCCCAAAAGATGATTACTCTTCGTAGTCACCGTTGTGAAAATTTCAAATCCCATGGATTGTTATTCTACACATTTTCAAAATGTAAGCTTCGGTAGATGCAACTTCTTTCATTATTACATCACAAACATCCGGGATTACATTGACGTGTCCGAGTCCAGGACTCTGTGAACTGCACACCGTCCCAAATCAAATCCGCACCAGCTGAAGAATATCTTCCCGTCAATACAGCCACCGCAAAATATAAGATCACAAGAGCTAAGTATTTCAACTATATGTTTTATCATTAGAAGAAACCACATCCATAACTGAGGCTTCCGACGGAATTTCTACCGACTATAACATACGTGCATCTTCCTTCTTGATACATATGAAGAGTATTCACATCCAATTGAAATTTATCAGGAAACTGTTGCCAACTACTGTATAATTAGGCCTATATTCTTTTTTTCTTAATTCACTTACTGGGGGGTGGAGTCCAGCTGGGTCCACTCGGCACGGCGGCCACTTATTGACCTATTGTACCTGCCCCGGGTGATGAAGATTGGCAGGAGAAAGCGAAGTACTCGGAGAAAACCCGCCCCAGCGCCACTTTGTCCATCACAAATCCTACTTGACCACACACGGGATCGAACCCGGACCGCCGCGGTGGGAAGCCAGCGATTAACCGCTTGAGCTATGGTGCGGCCTGGCCTATATACTTACATCACGTCATCCACTCACACATATTACAAACACTACAGTCCATGAGACACTTCCAAATAAATATTCCACTGAATATGCACACGATGAACTTTAAAAGTTCCGGAAAAACAGCCACATTTATACCTTGAGAAACTGAACTTGAGAGATTAACATACCCTAAACGATGCTGCTATCCACAGCAACTTTACTGTCAAATGTAGCCATTGCAATAGACTCAATTATACCTTCCACAGCACTTGCTTCTGCTCCTATTTGTAACTATTATAAATTCTGACTGCCTGCCTGCAAACACAGTGAACATTCATAAAGAGAAAACAAGCTTTAGTAGTTTATATATTTGAACAAAATCTGCTCTCAGTAAAACCTTGCAAGTATTTTATACAATATACACATGAAAAATGGGAGCGAGAGCTTCCAGAAACAAGGGGCTAATTGCCACATATTATTGATGTCATTTACAACCGATGATACACAGACTCAGATTGACTAGGGAGCATCTATTCACTGGGGAAATATAAAAGAAAAATGTTTAATTTAGTCCATGGTTAAAAAAGACAAGGCTGGGACTTCAACAGGGCATCTCTGAATAAACATTGGAAGCATCAGCAGTAGTAATGCAACACTGTACCTGTGCTAAGAACAGGCAAACACGCATATACAGCATGGAGGTAAAAAACATTTTTAACTTCAGCATTATATGGCTAGTGGTCAGCTTCACATTCAGGCCACTTTACTCTTGGAGAAATATCTCCAGTATCCAGTGGCTTGGAGACTGTACGGATGTCACAGGCAATACAACTGTAGGGGCGAGGAGACAAATTTCTGCCCCTATTGGGATCAGAAGCCTGGCTATCCTGCCAGTGGCCAGTCACTTTACGGGTTTTGCATCAGGGCTTATAAAAGTAGTAATAGCAGTATTACTAACAAGAGAAGAATGATGATGACAATATACTGACACAAAACTTTAAAGTAATCAGATCAAACATTTCAGTAAAATTATTTTCTGAAATCAGTATGTGGTTGCAAAAATGTACACTGAAACACATCTTGTGGTCTTGTGTGTTATAACATCACGTAGCCTGGTAGAAGGTTACCACACTTTCAAAGGAATGTGCTACCTCGACCATTACTTCCAACTATTTCAATGGAGGCAATTTGTTCCTCTGACATGTTGGTAACAACTTACCAGACTATACAGTGTCTTTTTATGACACTATCAGTATCTAAACTATATTTCATCAAGCTTGTACGACTGATAAATTGTAAAGGATTTGCAAGGAAGCAGCCACAGTCTAATTGGGGAAATATTCCAGCATTTGTGGGACTGCACAAAACCACTAAACCCTTCTGATGCCCCAAATGAGATTTTAATCAAGCACCTCCTGAATACAAGTCTATGCCAACCCACTCGGTTCATGGTGTCATAACTCACAAAACCACGACACCAAGATGGAAACTGAGAAAACTTTAAGTTTCCCTGTGGATATTTAAAAACTTTCTATCACAGAGTATGGTACCAATGAAACAAACTGATTCTATTTTATCAATATTCAACCTACTGTTGACACCTATTACAGGGGATTCATTTCTTGGCTATGTAAATTTCCTTACAGAAGTCACACATTTCATTTTCCAGAAATCTGGAACTCGTGTGCGCCATATAAGCAATCTAACCAGAACCATGAACTGTGTTAACAGTGAGTAATACCAACTGCACTACTTATCAGCAAGGAAATGGCCTCTTGCTATAGGAAGTCAGAGGTAACCACACTTCCTGTTAGTAGGTTAGATACAACCCCAATATCAGTAGTAGCAGTGGAAAGAGATGACGAGAAACTGCCTGATTACAAGGGAAACGGAAAAGCATATTAACATTCACTAACCAAAAGATGATACCAATGTCAGCAACCCCTCTGGAGGAATCAGCTTGACAGGAGGTCTGTGTGGAACTGCTGAAATAGTTCCTAATGTGGTCTTCTGGGGTATGTCACTATGATGTGGTCTAACATTTCAGAGAAACATTCTGCCTCTATATTCATGGTACCATGACACCATATTATTGTGTAGTAGGTGGGCACTAACATCGTGGAGGAACATAATGCCATGAAGCTAATGACATTATGCTCCTCCAGGATGTTAGTACCTACCTACTACACAATAATATGGTGTCACAACTCAGAAGACTATAATACGTACCTTCACTGTTGTGAAAACCTCATTACTTTCAATCTCCAGTATGTCTTCATGGTGTGGTGCTTAAGTGACAATAAATACTTTTCATAAACCACAGATTTTTGTTATAATAAAACTGCGCAGGCATATGGCAAATACTGTGCACTGACCTTAAGACAGGACAAACTTCACATTATAATAACGGAAGCAGAGATGTTCAGATTTGGCATAACTCTTAGAAATGAGCTTCTATAAACACAAATTGGTTTGCTGGGCATAACTTGTCACAATGGCATGGCTCATCCAGAGGCAGCAGACAGAGATGGTCTCCAGATGTTAGCTGCAAATATGTTAAATACAAAGACATGGATTGTTGACGAGGAATGGTTCTCCAGTTTGGGAGCTGGGTGGTGAAATAACAATTCCTCACTGTAAAAAGTGAACATATTATTAAATGTTACACAGGCCCTTTGATTTGGACCAGTTGTTGGGCATGACCCAAGCACTGGGAAAGGACATTAGATGTGGGACTCAGAAACCTGAGAGGAGGTGGTCACATGAGAGATCCAGACTTAGATGGGAAGATAATATTGAAGTGGATTATAAAGAAAGAGGGTGGATTCACATGACAGGGCAGGGTCCAGTGATAGGTTCTTTTGAACAAGGTAATGAACCTTTAGGTTTCATAAAAAGCAGGGAATTTGATATCAGCTGACAAGATTGTAAGCTTCTGAAGAAGTAAAGTTAATAGAAAGTCCGTCGAGTGTAACAATTTGTAGGTCACTTCTTTATCACTTCTGCCTTACATGTTTTGGTTTGATACAACCATCATCAGAGGCACTTACAATTATGAAAACACTGTCGTTGTTTATGATGTTCACAGTTATGTTTGTTGTGTGGACGCTGCTACAATATGTTGACGTGTAAAAGCACAACACTTGCTAGGATAGTTGAGTACACTATCAATTCTCACTTTCCATCCGAAACTGTTTTTAAGTTAAAATGCTAATGTTAAAATNCAACTATCCTAGCAAGTGTTGTGCTTTTACACGTCAACATATTGTAGCAGCGTCCACACAACAAACATAATTGTGAACATCATAAACAACGACAGTGTTTCATAATTGCAGTAAGTGCCTCTGATGATGGTTGTGTCAAACCGAAACATGTAAGGCAGAAGTGATAAAGAAGTGACCTACAAATTGTTACTCGACGGACTTTCTATTAACTTTGTGATTGATAGTGTAACGGACCAAAAATGAAACAATTCTGAAGAAGTACTCTGCTACAGGTAGTTAGTTCCCAGAGCATACTAACCAATGCAAAGCACATAAAATTTATGAATACCTGTTTTATTGGCATTTATGGTGAGCATCAGCTTCTCCCATGATAAAATTAATAGGGTCACTGTGTCAATTGTAGTCAAGACAAAATTCTTGATAACAAAATGTGCAGAAATAAAAAATGAAGGCAACAGTGATTGTGACCCACTTTGGTTGAACTTGAATTTGGTATTATTCCGATTTGAATCTGTAGTGCTCAGAGAAGCAAGTTTCTTTTTAATACAGTCATCTCATTGAAGCAGCAAACATCAGACTGCCACATCCTAGTTTTTTGACCAGAAATAATCTTATACTTCATAGTTCTCACATTATTTGCCTAGAAATGCTTAGTCTCTAACTTTTTCAGACCCTCTGGTTGGGTTCAAGTTAACATCTATGAGAACTACATCCCACTTCAATGTCAGAATTAGCTTAACAATCTAAACTTAAAATAAAATAAAAAATCTCCCACTAATGCAGCATGCTCTGCCCACGCCCTTCTTCATTTGATTACCTTAATAATATCCAGCCAGGAATCCAAATTATGAAAATCTTCATTAAGTGATTTTCTGCCCTTATACTACTTTTCTCTTAACTAACTCCATGGGGCAAAGCCCTTCTTCAGAAGCTAAAAGTCGCTCAGATACTACCCAGCCATGATATGCAAATAAAAATCCACAATACTGATAAATTTCATATAATATTTTGTAAATTATTATCACAGATATAATTCAACAAGGCAAGATGCAGGATAGTAACTTTAAAATTACAAATAATAAAAATTCTATAAATAATAATAACGGCTGATTTCAGAAAATCTCCAAACTGTACAGAACAATGCTAGAAAATGTTTTATGAGATGCTGCTAAGTGGAAGAAAAGACTACATATTACAAAGTTTAGTAATAAACGGTATGTGACACCAAGTACTCTGGTAGAAGTTTACCACAGTTTGAGAGGAACATACTATGCCCATCTTCAGGGATGAAGAATAGGCTGAGCAAGCAGGCAAGCAACAAGCAGCCTCTGCCTGTTCAGCTTACTCTTCAAGCCTGGAAATGGAGACATTAGATTTCTCCAAAACTCCAGTATACTTCAACCACACTATACGGTGTACATCCCAGAAGATCTCAAAAAGTTTATGAAGTTCATGAATACAAAATGCCATCACAGGAGCCTCCATCAAAAAAGTACTGCACTAGTTCACTCTTCAAATGATGACAATCCATTTGTAGGTCATTATGATGGACCAGCCCTGTTCTTCCAACCTCAATATCACATTCTGAACATTAGGTTTTGTGAACATAATGCTGTATAGTCTCATGGAGGCAGTATGTTCCTCCTAAATGCTGTTAACCATCTACCAAACTATGCTGCATCACATCCAGAAGACCAGGGGCTTAATATTTCTCAAATCTTACAAACTGCTGTGATTTTTCATGTGTTGACCCACCTGTCACAGGTATTGACAGACAACAGGGAAGCATAGTATGCAAGAAAAACACTTAAGAAAATCAAGACTGGTTATTTAACACAAATAATCCACATTATAAATGTAATATTTTTCTTAAATACATAATGCATCCAAGCAACACAGACAACATAATATAGAACATCTCAGGCTTTCATTATAGCTCAATGGTAAATGTTGATCCAGTTTCCAGGTGGTGGCACATGTAAAAGTAAGCTGCATTGTTGAAGTTTCAGAAATCCTTGTTTTCATCTTCAAGGTCTACATTTACAAGGTCACATTACATACAAATAAAATCAATGTATGAAGTACAGTCTTTTGGGATGTGACACTGAGTAGTTTGGTACACAGATAAGTACTACACAGTACAGCACATCCCCGAAGACAAAAATCATTAATCGTTAGAACCTCATATCTTAGAATATATATAACATAAAATGTTCACCTTATCAAGTTTCATAAATTTTTGTGCTTACCAAATATTTGCAGGTTTAATAAAATAACACTGTATTAAGATTTAGTCTATAAGCAAGTAGCATTCACACTTGACTAATACAATCCTGAAGTTTATTTTGCATAGCATTTAGTAACAGTATTTAGTATATCATTTCATCACTATCTGCTTCTGTAAGATGGATCAGAACTCTGTAAATGCAGACCAAGTGAAGGTAACAGAATAAGTAGTACACTTACAAATTCTGTGAATGTATAAGGATGACTCAATAAGCTGTTTCAATGAATGAAAGTCCTGCCTTTTCTTCATTTTTAAAGACATCTTACCCTGGACAGCAGTCCTCTCTCCACTGCCCTCTATGCATACACGCACAATGTGTATGTTTAGCCATTCACATTTCACCCCTGAAACTACACACTTGGATATCTGATATATTAATACACATCAACACCCAATTGGAAAATACAATTTTAGTATCAGCCTAAAGCTCAAACCAGACTTCAAATTTCTAAGAAACAGCTCACTGAACAAAAAAGCTTGTACATATAAAATATGTATTCAATTAAGATTTGTAACTTTAATTGAACTCTTTTTCAATAAATTAATATTTAAAAAAACAACAGGGAAAATATTCCGGGTGGGGCACAGATTTTACCTCTCACTATTGTTGAGAATGGCTCTGGAGTCCATCCAGCCCCCATCCAATGGGAACTGGAGTAAAGCAGCAGAAGCATGAAGCTGATCAGTCACTTTCACCTGGTGTCAAGGTTAAGAATGTGCGGAACAATACCTTCATTTCAGCATAAATCTTCATGGTGCAGCACTTAATTAAGCATGGGAACAACTTTCCTTACCTTTTCCTTATTGGCTCCCAAACAGATTTGAAAACAACTTTTAGTTATATTGCTTGAAAAAAATTAGAATCCATGAGGGATAGTATTTAGAGCAAGAATTGATACAGGATGTGAATACACAGACAGTCATTATCCTGTCACATAGTTTCCCATTAAGAACAGTCTGCATTTCAGTCACATACAGTTGTTTAAGAGCAAAGGTTCTCCACCCTGATGCATGATCTGAATATTTAATACACAAGAAACAAAACAAACTCTGTGGCTTGAGTCCGCAAGTGAACTATCCAAAATTAACGGCCGTGGGGATCCGTTGCGCTGATTATGCAACATCCTCTATCTGCTAAAGTTGCCACTAACTTTGCCTACAAGCAGCAGTCGCTCAGTCAATATTTAATACACAATTATCATGTCTTAATTCTCTGCAATGGAATAGAAATGAGGGAAGGGAATGATTCAAAGATTTCTTCCAGAGATCTAACAAAACTTCTGTCATATTACACACTGATTAGGTGTGAGAAGCCCTGAAGTAAGCAAGCGAGTTAAGTAGACCAAGTTGAAAATTTAGAAGACTGCACTGTCACACTTTCTGTATAATGTTTCTAGGACAATTTCTTATTTTAGCTATTTACCAAGTATAGGAAAACATCATTAATCAGAAAGCAAAGAAACCCACAAACCACATGACCTATTTCATTTAATTAAATATATATCTGTAATTTCTATATGTATAATATAAACTCCGTCGTAAATGCAACACTTTATTGTAGTTCTTGTCCCCCTTTTTTCACACTACATGTTTTGGCCGCAACCGGCCATCATCAGGGGTATTTCACTTCACGTAGCTGTCACACTGCACTCAATACTAACATTTAAACTCCAGATTTCCAATTGTTCATTGCTCTGTCGTCAATCGGCACCCGATATTCCAGAACTCCCCTTGTCGGTTTCGTCAATTATGTTTAAAATCTTTATTAATATTGACTCATCGATTGGTTTAAATTTTTTTTATTTTCAATTTAGCTTTAATATTTAAAATTTAAATTTAAAATCAAAAATAAAAAATCACAGAGATACTTGCTCTATGCTTATATGTGCTGCAGCGGCTACCTCTTGCTTCAGCTTTCAGTCTGTGCGCGTGTCGCTGCTTTTCTTCAATACGTTTCCAAACGTATTGAAGAAAAGCAGTGGCATGCACACAGGGAACCTGCACAAAATAACACGTGAGTTGTGCTCAAAGCAAGAGGTAGCTGCTGCAGCATATATAAGCATAGAGCAGGTATCTCTATGATTTTTTATTTCGATTTTAAATTTAAATTTTAAATATTAAAGCTAAATTGAGAATTTAAAAAAAAATTTAAACCAATCGTTGAGTTAATATTAATAAAGATTTTAAACATAACTGACAAAACCGACAAGGGGAGTTCTAGAATATTGGGTGCCAATTGATGATAGCGCAATAAACAATTGGAAATATGGAGTTTAAATGTTAATATTGAGTGCAGTGTGACAGCTACATGAAGTGAAATACGCCTGATGATGGCCGGTTGCAGCCAAAACATGCAGTGTGAAAAAAGGGGGACAAGAACTACAATAAAGTGTTGCATTTACGATGGAGTTTATATTATACATGTACATATAGAAGTGTGGAATGTAACAGGATGCTTAAATATAATATATATCTGTAAGGCCAAAGTAGGACAAGATTCTATTTGGGCATAATGAAGAAACAGAGACCCTGGCAATCTCTGTGAGCATCCAGGAGACCCTTGCTACTTGTCAGAACAAAATATGTTGCATACTGTTTGTCTTCAAGGCAATACAGTTTAACACCCACAATTACTTAGTATGATTACTGTATAAATATATTATTCCAAAAATATACAATAGGAATTGTGATCATGTTTACGTAACTCGAAGAAATACTGTACTTACTGGAGTGGCACCACTCACCAAACACTGATGTTGGGCAGTGACAGTTCTTGAAATGTTGTAAAATTCCATTTTTTTTATTGCTAGTCGGGTGGGACTAAGTCCCTTGTACTATGGCCACTTCTGGCCTATTGTACCAGCCCCAGATGATAGGTGAGGGTGATTGTGGAGCAATTGGCCCAATGAAGATTGGCAGGGGAAACCAAAGTACTTGGAGAAAACCTGCCCCAGTGCCACTTTGTCCACCACAAATCCCACTTGACCAAAACCCAGGATCGAACCCAGGTCACCACAGTGGGAAGCCAGCGACTAACCGCTTGAGCTATGGCACAGCCTAAAAAATTCCATCTTGATATGGCTTGAAAAGTAAACTAACTCTGTGCCCATACCACATAAACCATAGCTCCTGTCATTATAAAACTGGCACATATATTGAACACCATATATCTTCATGTTTTATATACTGGTTCTCTATCTGTATTAAGATGAAAGTATGAAATCTAACTCAAATGGGACTAATCTCTATCTCCAAATCCAAGCATATGAGACAATGGTGCAGTATTAAAGTGACATACTGGCCATAATTTATCTTGTACTGGCTATAGAAACACAGCACTTCAGAAACTAGGTTTGTTTCCATCACGATGGAGTCTCTGAAATGTTTCTTAAATCAAAATGAGATGATGCACAATATCAATATAGTGTGAGCTCAACACCATAGTCACAAACCTTCAGACTCGGCTATCTGTATGTTGTGAATCCACAGTGTGCTACAGATTATCTGAAAGTCGATTAATGAGGTTCTCCTGTAAGGTACATATGCAAGCCCTACACGAATCAGTCATCCCAAAAAACCAGTACTGCCAACATATATATGCTGGCTGACTGAGCAGTAAACAAACACTTCTCTATCAGTATTTCATGCAAAGAAACGGAAATTATCATACACCACAGCAACATACAAGGATGCATCATAAAATTCTGAGATTCGTGGAAGTTATTCAATTCCTATGGCACATTTTGGATGATTCCTGGAATTTTCTGAAATATCTTTTCTTTCAGATAGTTATCATCAATCCTGTAACAAAAAAGTCACCATGTGCTAAATCTGGTAAATATAGTGGGTGCAAAACCAGCTGAATTGTGTGCTTTGTCAAAAAGTCCTTTATGGTGTCAGCGAAGTAAGCTGATGCATTGCTGAGATGTACCATGCTCCTTCTGTTGAATCACGCCTCTTTGGTATTTCAAAACATCCAAATAAAACATACTGACTGGCTCTCACAATATGTAAAGTCTGTCACAAAGAGAAACATTGTTTTCTCGGTAAATGAAGATTGACACTGAGAGCATATATCTCCAACAAAAATTCTGCATTCTTTAAAATGAACAAACCACTTGAATGTTCTGGCGTACTTGTGAAGTACTTCCCAACTTTTACGTTTTAGTATTTCACATGTTTCTAGTGTCTTCTTTCCAAGCTTCACCCAGAACTTGATGTAGATGCTATTCACTGTTGGCCATGTCATGCTTAGATAACCGCTACAAACATGTATTTTAATCACAACCCATATGAAACAGCAGCTTCTACCTGAAGTAGTTGAATTCCTTCATCAACAATATCTGATGTCTGCTGCCCTTACAATAAGTGTTATTAATGTACAGTGAAACCAACCTGAGAATTTACTGATCAACCCTCACACGTCACTTTGAAATGGAGCATCAAACCACGGAAGCCCTAGTGCCATGTCTTTCTGGGAAATTATATGCAAAATGAATACTGTTAATCCTGCCTGTATGTGGTGGAAGCTACAAATATCTAGTACTATTAGGTTTCTGGACTGTCCACAATTTACTATCATGAGAAGAACACACCATTTTGCAACATTGAAATAATTTCTCCTATGTGGTGAAATGATGTCTAATCAAAATGAACATCCTCTTAATACTTTGTGAACCGCGCACGCATTAATATGTTTTTCGCTTTTAAACGTGGTGGACCGGTCGCGTATTAATATGTTTTTAGAACACGATAAATTGCAACACACTATACATTGCTCTTACGCCACTCAGCTTGGAAGTAGCTGCCTGCAGCTGCGTGAAAAGCCTCTGGAATGTTTGCTGACTAATCAGTTATGTGACCTCGCTGTAACTGTATGCCCCTGCAAAGGAAAATAAATGCCTTTATTTCTTCAAGCTGTACGTAGCAAGCTGTCAGTGAATAGTGCAATATGGATCAAGGACGAAAGCGGTTGAAACCCAAGCAATTTCTCGGAGAACAAGATATATCTGATTTGTTCTCTGATGAGCTATCTGATGTGCCTGGTGAAAGTAGTGAGTGACTCAGATATTGGCAGTGAACAAGAAAGTATTGTGGCCACAGACAATACAAGTGAAAGTAGTGGGTAGTGACAGTGGGGGGACAGCCACATGGGGAAAAGTAGACAAAACGCCTACTTTGGGACAGTTTACTGGAAATCCGGAGGTGAAACAATTTCCATCGGACCCAACGCAAGTGTCTGAAGTAGTGGAACTGTTTTTTGGAGATTTTGGTGGTGTTTGCATTTCAATGATAATGAACTGCAACCACAATCAACAAGCAGGCTTTTCAAAATTCAGCCCTTATTGACCTTTTTCATTCAGAAATTTCAGAGAGTTTATACGCCAAACCAACAACTGTCTTTGCATGAATCTGTGATTCCTTGGAGGGGAAGGCTTCATATGTGAAAAAAAACCCTGGGAAACTTACAAAGTATGGCCTACTTGTTCGTGTAGTTACTGAAAGCACTTCAGGCTATACTGGAAATGTAGAAATTTATTCTGGTGAAGGAAAGAAATTACAAGAAACTATTCTTTCCATTTTGGAACCCTATCTTGATCAAAATTACTATGTCTATCAAGACAATTATTATAACAGTGTGTCAACTGCAGAACACCTACTTTCGAGAAAAGTACATGTTTCTGGAACAATTAGGGTGAACAGAAGCAGACACAGTCTTAGAGCGACTGGGCCCGTCTACTCCCACCCCACGCAGGCCTCATTTTGACCGCCCTGGGTGACTCTCGGGTGACATGCAGAAACATACCCTCGCGAAAATTGTGAAGAGTGAACATTTCAAGGGGAAGCATCCTTCTAGGCAATTCTGTGTTTGTGCAGTTCACAAGAAAAGGAGTAAGATTGTCTACATTTGCAAGTTTTGTGTAATGCCACTTCACAAAGGGGAATGTTTTGAGAAATATAACACCCTCAAGCACTTCTAGGAGCATTGGTAAGTGTTCTCAAAAATTTTTAGTTCATAAAATTAATTAGCAGATTTTATATTAATTTTTAAAGTGAACAGTGCACAAGTTACGGTAGTAGGTAAAAAAATGCCGGTCCCCAGGGTGATTTAAAGATTTAAATTGCCGGTCCACAGTGTTAACAAAACCTCAACCTGGGCCTTCGTACAGATTTAGTTGTCCTGTAATTGAGCTTAGGTCTCTCTATCTGATTATAATCTAGAAGTTTGTGACAATGGCATATTAATACAATCATTGTGTTTCTAGACATTACCGTCATCCTGTTTCTATTCAAAACACACTGTCTTGGAGACTGGATTCTATCTGTCTTCCGGTGAAACCTGCTCAGTTGGGACCAACTGACAAAGCTAGACCCTATGTCCAGACACCAGCACTGACACAAGATAGGATACACAAATCCATCTATCTGACACAACTGAGCAGGTGCCTCCTCACCATTTCACTTGATGATGGAAATAGATCCAGTTTCCAGAATGCTGAGTTCTGTTCAGAAAACCATACAATGAAGAAAGTCCGATAACCCAGTGATACTAAGCGTAATAACACACATATGAGAACCCTTTAAAACTCATTTAAAAATACCCACCTCATACTGGTACCACTGCCAAAATTAAGGTGGATATCGCACACCTCTATCCTGTTGGTAATACTGCAGGAACAATGTAGTAGAAGATATAGCCACCTCTAGCTTATGCCTGTAGCAGCCACACATACAAAATATAGACTAAATTACCGTGTCAGGACCACAACATTAAGGTGGTAAAACCAGCACTAAGGTGTGATGCCGTGAGGATCTCCTGATAACACAACCTGTATCAAAGTGTAGTGGAAGCCACAGGAACTTCTTGGTCCTGCTGCTGGCTGCACTGATTCACGGCTATTCCATCTTGTGCATGGAACACTGTCTGCAACTTTGACTCACCAGGAAACACCACACGATACACACCACCCCTCTCACTCCCACTGCCACCAGCACCAGTGCTGCCATCACTGGCAGCATGCTGCTCTAACGAGACCGGAACTGGCATCACAATAATCTCAATTGTAGGAACATTGTCCCCTGTCTTGGTGGTCTCCTCTGTCTGTGGGGTCTCTTTAATGTGTCCTCTCAGTCTGGCCTTTCGGATACCTCTCCTTGCTCCTTGCTGTAACTGAGAGTGGGTTTGAGTCCGTCTCAGGTTACTTTCCAGTGTAACACCAACCTCATCCATTTGTTCCTGTGAATGATTACATTCATGTGCTGCTAGTGACACCTTCTTCTTAAAGCCCTACAAAAAATACAGAAAACACTCACTTTAATGGATCTTATGAAACAATGAATCTGGTTATCCTAAGTTAAATGTAGGATTTTCAGTCCTGCCACATAAACAGTTGGTTAGTTCCTTAAAACAGGCCACAACTACTTCCTTCCACATCCATTCCAGATTATCATTCATAAATGCCTAGCATATCTCAGTTGACATTAAAAAAATTTCAATAATTCATACCTGGCAAATGACGGAATATTAAAATCAGGCCATGACTGCTTCATTTCACATCCTCTCCCATTCATTATTCTTTGTTTCACACCCTCCCCAATTCATTATTCACCAATAATCCTAATATTTAACACTATAAAATCTTAACAACCAAAAGTGAATAAAAATCAAAGAATAAAAAATAAAATAAATAAAATAAAACAAATCAGCAGTTAATTTTGAATTCAAAATCTGTGAAGAGATACAAATAATTACAATACCAGACTTTTACCGAAATGCATTTGGCCACAAAGAATGCAAATGCAGACTGCATACTACAAAATGTGATACATACCATGCCACAGTTTTCACATGTGTGAGGAGATACTTGATGATGTGTTCTGTCATGTTGGCGTAGCTGTGTCTGACGTTGGAATGTCTTATTGCATATCTTGCACTGTAAGGATGGACGCACTGAACTATGTGTCAGGATGTGGAGCTTTAGTTTATCTGCAATCACAGTCATTATCTTCATTAACAGTTCATGAAGTGTGACTCTACCACCAACATACCAGATATATACAGGAGGGTCCAAAAAAATGTACTCACTCTTTGATAGTCAATATCTTTGGAACAAAATGACATGTAGTTACAATTCTTTCGCGGTAGTGTAGTGTAATGTTTTCTCAACAGATGGTGAAGGTCACATGAGTCACGAGTGTCGTGCCACGTGCGCTCTGTGAGCAGACAGCAGCAGCAACAATGGCTGAAAGGTTGTTCTTTGAGCAATGCAAGGCTGTATTGAAGTGGTACTGGAAGTACGAAAACAGCAGAATGAGTTTCGAACTCAGCCACCAACAGATCGAATAACTGCCCATATTCAGGATAAATTTGAAGCCCTTGGTACTGTTCATGATATGCATAAGCAAAGATATGGGTGACCACGGATAGTAGCCTGTCATCGCGCGGTTTTATTGGTCCTTTCTTCTTTGAAGGTATCGTAACAGGTCAAGTGTATCTCGATATGCTTCAAACATCGATTTTCCTTGTCATTCGAGAGCTGTTTGGAGATGAGAGATTTTACCTACAACAAGATGGTGCTCCACCTCACTACCATCAAGATGTGAGGGTGTACTTGGATGACACTCTACCTGGATGATGGATAGGTCGAAGAGGTGCTATTGAGTACCCACCACGGTCTCCAGACCTAACACCTCTCGACTTCTACCTACGGGGAACCTTGAAGGATGAAGTTTATCGACAAAAGTCAGCTACACTGAACGCGCTACGAGAAACCATCGAAGCGTCATGTGCAGCCATTACACTGGACACACTGACAGCCGTAGTTAGCTCAGCAGTTCAGCAGCATTGACACTGTTTAGCCGCTGATGGTGGTCACTTCGAACACATGCAATGACTCTCTCTCTCTCTCTCCGCGCAAAAATTGTAACTACATGTCATTTTGTTCCAAAGATATTGACTATCAAAGAGTGAGCACATTTTCTTTGACCCCTCTGTATTTGGAAAATCATGAATTATACTCAAAATCTGACTGATTTTTAGCACTCTGTTTATCAGTAATTATTAATTGTTTGACAATGCCATCGAGTAAAATGTGTTTAAATGAAATATACAGTAAAGTCTGTATAGGCAAATATTAATCTGATAATTTTTATCCAGAATGGTCTAAACCAAGAAGATGCTTTATTGTCACTGTTTTCCAACTCTGCTTTAGAACATGTCATTAGGAAGGTCCAGGAAAACCTGGTGGGACTAAAATTAAATGGGACTCATCAGCTGCTGGTCTATGCTGATGTGAATGAGCTGGGTGATAATATAGATACCATAAAGAAAAATACAGAAGCTTTAATAATGATAATATGGATACCATAAAGAAAAACACAGAAGCTTTAACTGACGCTAGTAAGGAGGTGGTCTAGAAGTAAACACAGAGAAAACTAAGTATATGTTGCTGTCTCATTAGAAGATTGCAGGACAAAATCATGACATAAAGTGAAGTAACAGATTCTTTGAAAATGTGGCACAGTTCAGATATTTGGAAACAAATATAACAAATCAAAAACTGATTCAGGAGGAAATTAAAGGGAGACTGCATTCAGGTAATGCTTGCTACCATTCAGTCCAGAACCTTCTGACTTCTCGTGTGCTTTCTAAAAACATAAAAATTAGAATATACAAAACTATAATGTTGCCTGTGGCTCCATATGGGTGTGAAACTTGGTCTCTGACATTTAGGGAGGAACAGAGACTGAGGGTGTTTGAGATCAAGGTGCTGACAAGAATATTTGGATTGAAGAGAGATGACGTGACAGCAGGTTTCAGAAAACTGTACAACACGGAGCTTCATAAGTGTACGATGGGGTACCCAAAAGAAACCGAACTAATTTTTTGTGGGCAGAGCTTTTGTAGTACCGCGTTTTGCTGCTATGAGCGCATAGAGCTAACATTCCTGAGTCGATAAGCCGACTACCGTTGCTTCAGAAGGTAAGGACTAGTTTCGGCAGAGTTTATAGTGACAACTGTTTTGTGTGATCGTCATTTTTGCAATGGCCCAAACACATGAAAATGTTGAAAAAATTCATGAAATCATCAAGGAAGATCGACAACGGACCATTGAAGAAATTGTGGAGCTGTTGGGAGTGACTTGGAGCTCGGTTCTGCAAATTTTGACAGAAGATTTGGAAATGAAAAGGGTGGCTGCGAAATTCGTGCCACGACTGCTGACTGCTGAACAAAAACCAGGTCGCGTGGAAGCATGCTGTGCTTTGAAAGAAGAGTCCCAAAATGATCAAAACTTTTTTTCAGCGTTTTGCTGATGTTGCTGAGGTGAAGGAAAAAAACGACGGAGGCGCTGTCAAGCATCTCAAAAGATGAATTTAGACAATGTTTTGAAAAATGGAATAAAAGACTAGACAAGTGTATTAGTGTAAGTGGAGAGTACTTTGAAGGGGATTGAAGGTTTGTGCTTAAAATTTGAATAAATAAGTTAAAAAAAAATAAGTTCGGTTTCTTTTGGGTACCCCCTCGTACTCTTCGCCAAGTATAATTAGAATGATCAAGTCAGGGAGGATGAGATGGGCAGAGCATATAGCATGAATGGGGGAGCAGAGGAATGCATATAGGATATTGGTGGGAAAGCCAGAAGGAAAGAGACCACTACGATGATCAAGACATGGGTGGGTGAACAATATTAAAATGGATTTTAGAGAGACAGGATGGGACTGTATGGACTGGATCAATCTGGTTTAGGATGGGGACTAGTGCAGGGCTCTTATGAATGTGGTAATGAACCTTTGGGTTCCATAAAATGCTGGAAAGTTCTTGAGCAGCTGTAAAATCGGTGGCTTCTCAAGAAGGTCTCAGTTCCATGAGCAAGTGAGTGAGAGATAACCCCATTATCAATATCAGCTCAATTCTTCTCAAATGTAAAAGTGTGTAACAGTAGTCATCATTAATCACTGCCTATGTCCCCATCTAGATAAGTTATTCTCTATACACTGGCATTCTGATGAAACTGTAGCATCCTTTCCTTCCCCTAAATTTACAGCTCTCAAGTGACTTCAAAGTAGATTAATGAGTAGGGGTCAACATACATTGGTTCAGCTCACCAGTCAGACAAAAATTCTACTCGCCAGACATTTCTCCACAACAGAAATCAGACCTACCCACACCAAAGCGGCCTCCGTAGTCTAGGGGTAACGTTCCCACCTCGACTCAAGGTACATGGGTTCAAACCTGGCGGAGGTCGTGGAATTTTTAAGGGCGGAAAAATTGAGGGAACAAGTCCTCCGGGAGGGACTTTAAGCTGTGGGTCCCATGTCATAGCTTTACGGCACATAAAAGAACCTCATGCCTCAAGGAGGTCTCTGAGCCAAATTATAAGGACGTTTCCCACACAACAATAGTCTCTAACGCATCTGGCAGATGGGAGAAGCATCTAGATACCACTGAGCCAGCAGAGGCCGAACTCGCTGGCTGAGTCAGGACTGATGGCATGCACCAGTATCGGTAGGGTATAGAGACTGGTATAATATCACAGGGAGACGTACAATAGACCACTGGTCGCGGTGCATGGGGAAACCCACCCCCTCCAATAATAATAATAAAAAATAATACCCACACCAGCAGACCTGCTCTGTACCAGCCTATTTATCATCACATAACACACAAGACATATAAATGCTGCCCCTTCTATTATAAAAGATATCTGGAAAGTAAAAATACAAAGTCCAGAAAATATCTGTTAAGCATTTTTCAGAGGGATTCACTTGTAGCAATTTTAAAACACATCTTTATTTACTTTTCAACACAGTTACCATGGATCAGAATACACTTAGTGAGCCTGGGAATGAGTTTCTTTATTCCAGCATCATAGAAATTTCCTGCCTGCTTTCTTAGATATGGAGAACAGTTTCTGACACTTCTGGGCAGTGTTGATTAAGCTCAATGATGGTTAAACTTCTGTCAGCATGAATGTTTTCATCAGTAACAATGGATGGCCTACCACTCCTTATGTCATCATGAACATCTTCTTCCTGCTTAAAATTCATGACACCATTCTGACACATTTTGCCTGTTCATAATATGTTCGCTATAAATATAAACAAGTTGGCGATGAATTTCAGCAGCAGTTTCTCCTTTAGCAGGAAGAAATCAAATTACTAAACGATCCTCACATTTGGCTGTGTTTTGAATCAACATGACCATTTTAGACACATACTGCAAGCACAATGTTGCAGCGACTGGCTGGTGCACTCAGCCCTGTCACATGGTTCCTGTCTCACATGGCAGCACTAACATTTCTGGGGGGGTGGGGGTGGGGTGGGGGGGAATGTCCCTTGCATTTGTTCTGGACTTTGTATCTTTGCTTTCCGGATATCCCTTGTAATGTGTACACAAGAAATTCCAAAACAGTTAACAGACTACACACACAGCAGCAATCTCCATTGGGCATCTGAAGTTATGCTGGAAGAAATAACACATAAAAGAAATGAAGTGACATGTTCAAACATTTATGTTGACATTGATATTGATGATGATGATAATGTACTGTTTAGAATCTGTGGAGAAATAAAAAGGGAGATTAAGAGAATATTACTCATCAACCCTGAAGATGAAGGGTGTATGATCCTCTGAAACACTGGTTGCTCTTCATTCAAATACATGACATTATAACAGAGAAGATAGAGCTCTTAAAAACATACATTTTTTTTAACTTGTCAGCCTTCATTTCTCACTTTTCACATTGAGTAGATAATTGGGTTTGCTGGGCTCTGCTAATGAGTATTCAGTGTGTAAATTATTTCATGGTAACAAAGTAATGAAAATGACATGAGACAATCAACTGGGTTTGAAACAAGGACGCATGATACAGACAAATGTACTTCATTTTAAACTGCCTCACCAGGATCAGCAATGTTGTGAGGTCCCTCCCCCAAATGAAACTGTTAAAATTATTTACCTTGTCTATTGAATTCCTTGGGACAACCCAAATACGAGCGGAATGGGCACTTGAATTTCTTTACTGACTGGTGAATCAGCAGATGCCTCACAAGCTTGTCTTTGCGGTTGAATGCTGCTGGACAGTGCTGGAAAAGTCAAAGCCAAAACTAATACAAACTCTGACACTTCAGTTTTCTTCTAATATGACTGTACAAAAACACAAAGTATACTGTATTCAGTGAATAAAACAACACATATGATCTACAAAGTATTACATTTTTAGCAAGAATGGACGGAGACAAAAAAATTTTGGATAATAACTACACATGGGCATTGATATTCTTTATAATGCATCATGTAAGTACAAGAGTACTGGGATTTAAGATGATCTACATTTTATTGAATTCTGAACCATAATATGGTTCTTTGTCTAAGACCTTGATTTCCCAAATCAGAATCCTATCTAAGCAGTGACCTTCTGGCATGCATTTTCTTTTATGTTATCCTAAAACAAAATTCATGTTCATACTGTGAATAACATTTTGTTCATACCTGACACACATGAGGTTTGTGCGTACTGTGTGTAAGCATGTGAGTGTTTAGATATTGCTCAGTGCGGAAGCCCTTGCCACACTGTTGACAGGTGAAAGACTGGGCTGTCCCATGTGTAGGAAGATGTCTTCGCAGATAGCGTTCACAGGCAAATACCTTCCCACAATGTGGGCATGGATAACTGTGAGTGCTAATTGCCATGTGATGGTCCAGTGACTCAGGAGATGAGAATTTGCTTTTGCACTTCACACAACGATAAAACCTGAAATATAGTAAGTATGAAGTAATGATATTAATAACACATATTAACCTGCAAACCCACTGTGCTAGTCATTACCTTTATATATCAGACATTACTACTACTGGAGAGTAAAGGAAACAGCCAAACTAATATACAGTATGTGCCAAGAGTACAGTACTGAAATGAAAAGACGAATACTACCTTGTAAGCACAACAGACCACTGTAGGTCACAGTGCAAGGGCGGAGAAGGCCTACCCCTCATACATTCATGCATTCATTACCTTGTTGTCATCTGTGAGCTTATTTCTCCTGAAAGAAACTAACATACACAATATTAGCATGTTGATTTACCATGGTATGCATAAGGTAAGTTTTCGAAGTGTGCCCTGCCTCACTGTAGATGGGGTTCATATTGTTCACGCAGATTTTCAATCATATCCCGGAACAAAGGTTGCTGCAGACTCCTGCAAAAGGAGACGATCTGTTCGTGTAATGCAGGCACAGTTCTTGGCAGATCTTCACAGTTGAACACACACGCCTTTAACAATCCCCACAAGTAGGCATCAGGCAGTGTAAGATCAGGGGCAGTTCTTGGGGGATCTTCACAGTTGAACACACTCTCCTTCAGCATTCCCCACAGGTAGGCATCAGGTGGTGTAAGATCGGGGGTACAGTTCTTGGCAGATCTTCACAGTTGAACACACTCTCCTTTAACATTCCCCACAAGTAGGCATCAGGTGGTGTAAGATCAGGGGTACAGTTGTTGGTGGATCTTCACAGTTGAACACTCTCCTTTAACATTTCCCACAAGTAGGCATCACGTGGTGTAAGATCGGGGGTACAGTTCTTGGCGGATCTTCACAGTTGAACACACTCTCCTTTAACATTTCCCACAAGTAGGCATCAGGTGGTGTAAGATCAGGGGTACAGTTCTTGGCGGATCTTCACAGTTGAACACACTCTCCTTTAACATTCCCCAGAAGTAGGTATCAGGCGGTGTAAGATCAGGGGCAGTTTTTGGGGGATCTTCACAGTTGAACACACTCTCCTTTAGCATTCACCACAAGTAGGCGTCAGGTGGTGTAAGATGGGGGGTACAGTTCTTGGCAGATCTTCACAGTTGAACACACTCTCCTTTAACATTCCCCACAAGTAGGCATCAGGTGGTGTAAGATCAGGGGTACAGTTCTTGGTGGATCTTCACAGTTGAACACACTCTCCTTTAACATTCCCCACAAGTAGGCATCAGGCGGTGTAAGATCAGGGGCACAGTTCTTGGCGGATCTTCACAGTTGAACACACTTTCCTTTAGCATTCCCCACAAGTAGGCATCAGGTGGTATAAGATCAGGGGTACAGTTCTTGGCGGATCTTCACAGTTGAACACACTCTCCTTTAATATTTCCCACAGGTAGGCATCAGGTGGTGTAAGATCAGAGGAATGGGACAGGTATGGGAAGTCCGTACCATGTGAAATGATTCGTCCTTGAAAGATTTTCTGCAGCATGGCTTGAGATTCTCGAGCGGTATGGCTGGTCGCCCTGTCCTGTTGATACCACTGTCTATTCATGTGAAGGTCCCTTGCAAGACAGAACCTTCTCAAATCCTGAAGAAATGGTCCAATCACCATTAACCTGTAGTGTCCTTGGGTGACAGTAAGAGCACTGCCTTCCTCATCAATGAAACAGGGGCCTAATATACCGTGTGCTGAGATGGCACACCATATCGTCACACGTGTACTATGTAGCGGTTTCTGGATGATAACATCTGGCCACTCAAACCAAGGAAGCAAGTTGTCTGGCAACTGATGTAGCCATCCAAGTGAATGTGACTTTCATCGGAGAACCACACATTCAAGAAATCTGGATCCTCGTACACCATGGCCAAAAATGTTCCACAATATACCATCCTGGCTCACATATCTGACCCTGTCAAGCATTGTCCAACCTGTATACGGTACGGAAATCCACCTATGTTCTTAAACAATCGGCGAACGGTCGTATCGCTGACATTCAGTTTCAAGGCCATTCATCATAGACTTTGTTGGGGCGAATGCAGCACCTGCTGAAGAACATGTGTGTGATTGTCTTTTGTTGGAACCGTTACTGGTCAACCAGACTTCCCTTTCCGTTGACACAGTACACTACCAGAATGGCGAAATTTCGTAACAATAGACAGCATAACTGTGTTACTTGGTGCCGTCTTATTAAATCTCTCTTGGAATTGTTCTGTCACCTTTTTCAAATTTGGCCCCCTTTCATGACCCCTTCCACATGAGCGGAAATAATACTCAACTATGAATACTTTTTCCTCTGTCGATAGACCCATTTCCAACAACTACACAATACAACTTTCTTTTCACTTCTGGGAACACGTGCGGCTGGAGCTATGCCATGTCGACAAGTGCACATGTGCGTTCAAGATGTGCGAGTTTCAGTACTGCATATTTTGGCGCATACTGTCCATTCCAACAGCAGGAAGATCAAAATGAATGGTGTATACTCAAGCAAGGAGACAGACCCATTTCCAACAACTACACAACTTCCTTTTCACTTCTGGGAACATGTGCGGCTGGAGCTATGCCACGTCAACAAATGCACATGTGCGTTCAAGATGTGCGAGTTTCAGTACTGCATATTTTGGCACACACTGTACATTCCAACAGCAGGAAGATCAAAATGAATGGTGTATACTGAAGTAAGGATGGAGAACAATATCAATAAAAGCCTTATGGTAAAAGAAGCCTATTACTGATTTAACAGGTAAGGTTAATGAACCTATTTCCAGACAAATGAATAGGAATCAAAATGTTTTCTCAATATAAGGTCTGTAAGTGCTTTACGTACCTACTGCCTATTTTGGGAGGCGCAGTCTTGGTGTTGTGGCTATAGTGATGGATGCCCAGGTCTGCCAATGTGTGGAACTGCTTGCTGCACACATGACACCGATACAATACCTCACTTGAGTGGAATCGTGTGTGACTTACAAATGTGTCCAGGTCAGAAAATGTCTGGTGGCAGTTTTTCTGGATACATTTGTAGACCTGCAAGAATATATATTAAACAACAAACACCTCTTAAATATTAGACAGAAATGACAGTATAACTTCAGTTTAGTATTAACCATTTTCTGCCTTCTTACCTCTCTCACAACAGCTACAACTGTGAATGGGAAAATATAAACTCCTGCTATCTGTTGTTCATATATGCAGACTATTACAGAAGACATCATGAGAATGTAAAGAGCAAAGCTATAACAAGGATACAATCATAATGAGGTGGTAAATTCACAAAGCTGGTGGTGGAACTCTTCTGATGTTGGACCTGTACAGGAAAATTAAAACATCGGAAGCCTTTAGGCAGAGGATGAATGAATGTATAAGAGGTGGGCCTTCTCAGCCCTTGCACCATGACCTACAGTGGCCTATTGTGCTTTAGGCAGAGGATGGATGGATGGATGGATGAATCAATGAATGAATGAATGTATAAGGGGTGGGCCTTCTCAGCCCTTGCACCGCGACCTACAGTGGCCTATTGTGCTTGAATGTGAGGAAGAATGAATGAATGAATGAATGAATGAATGTATAAGGGGTGGGCCTTCTCAGCCCTTGCACCACAACATACAGTGGCCTATTGTGCTTTAGGCAGAGGATAGGAAAGGGTAATAACCGTTAAATGGCCCAGAATTTGGGAACACAATCTGTTAAGTCATAGTTTACTTAATGATAACGCAACAACTTCAGAGGTTATGTAGCAATGCACAGATATAAAATTATCTCGTGTCAAGAAGTAGAATGTTTGATAGTAAGAGGTGATATCCATAGTGTCGGATGATGCTGACAGCTGAACTATCTGAACTACTGATATACTGAAATAACGAGTGATATGAGAAATCTGCCTCAGTACTAAAAGTTGGAAGGGGGAGGAGATTGCTTTGCTCTCATTATTTTAGGAGGAGGAATGTTTCATATTTGGGAAAATATGGCATTTGTATGAGGAAAATTATCCATATGGCAAAAATCATTGAAGGTTTGATGATTGATGGAACCAGAGACTGTCACCAGATGTAAAAATGTACACATTTTCAGGCATTATCCCAAAGAAAGTAACAGTATGGCAGACAATAATGCAAACTACGTAGGTCGTACCGAAAGTCATGGGCAACTTTTTTTGCATGCAACCTGGGAACAGCAGATGAGAGTATGGTGGTAGGTGGAACCAGCTGTTGTATTAACCTTGAGTGTCTTGTGATGTCAATAGCTTGCATCACATGACCAGTATCACTCCTAACAAAATGGCCGACAACGATATGCTGTTTCGCCAGCGTGGTCTCATCGAATTTCTTGTGAAAGAGGAAATCTCTGCTGCAGAAATTCACCAGAGACTTCAGCGGGCTTATGGAAGTGTGTGCATGGGTGCGAGCAGTATTCAAAGATGGGTGAAACATTTTAAAGATGGGAACACCAGCACTGAAGATGAGCCTCGGAGCGGTCGTCCTCGAACAAACTCAACTGAACACGACAAGGAAAGAGTGGATGAGATCATTCAAGATCACAGGCGTGTGACTGTGGACACAATAGCCCAAAAACTTGGAATAGGGCACAGTGCAGTACAGATGATTGAAAGCTTGGGCTATAGGAAAGTTTGTGCTTGTTGGGTTCCACAGTTATTGACCGAAGACCACAAAGGTCAGAGAAAAGCCATCACCTCAGAACTGCTGCAGAGATATCGACACGAAGGCGATGACTTTTTGCTCTGTATTGTGACAGGTTATGAAAGATGGTTTCACCATTTTGAGCCTGAAAAGAAACGGCAGAGTATGGAATTGCACCATTTGCATTCTCCATCAAAAAAAGAAGGCAAAGACAGTGCCATCAGCTGCAAAGGTGATGGGAACAGTCTTCTGGGATGTAGAGGGGTTTATTCTGGCCAAATTCCTGGAACCTGGGAAAACCATCAATGCTGCTTGTTATGTCCAGACGCTGCACAAGCTCCGTCGTGCATTGCGCGATAAACGTCCAGGATGAAACATCATCCTCCTGCATGACAACACTCGCCCCCACGCTGCTCGCCTCAAATTGGAAGCAACTGCAAAGATGGTGTGGGAAGTTCTTCCACACCCCTCCTATAACCCTGATCTGGCACCCTCCTACTACCATCTTTTTGGATTTGTGAAGGATCAGCTGCGTGGTCGTTTTGAGACAAGGGAGGCAATTCAGAAAGCAGTGCGTCAGTGTCTTCAGATGGCTGGAACGGAATTTTCAAATTCCCAGAATGCTGGGAGAGATATGTACAAAGAAGTGGCGATTACGTGGAAAAATACAGAAATGTCTGTAGACTGAGGTGGTGTATTTGGTTTGTCAATAATAAAGCATGTTACTTTACAAAAAATTGTTGCTCATGACTTTCAGTATGACCCTCGTATATTTAAACTCAGATAAATGTAACTGTTTATAAAACTACACATCAGTAGTCATTCCTACCTTTTGATGTGAATGCTGCTTCATGTGGGTCTTGAGTTCAAAGTAGGACTCAAATCTTGTGGAACAGTATTGGCAAACATAAGCTCGGTCCACCATTAGCTCAACTTCCAAGTTACTATGATCAGAGTCCTATACAAGATAATTCAGTGAGCTGTTAGATTCTCCTTATTAAAAGCATCACACTAAAACTGAGTTATGTAACTAAAGAATAACACTTTCTATTCAGCAACATACCGAAATTCTGAGTTAAGCACACTACTGCATAAACTTCTGAAGTTATTTCTTCTCCTGAAAAGAGATATTTATCACCTCAACTCCCTTTTCTGTAACACCCAAAAGTGTATAGTACCTCCAAGGAACATGATGCAAGGAATTGCCAATGACTAGATTCAGAGGTAAATTTTTGGTGTCACAATGATGAAATTTTAGTTTACACAGAATGGAAAATTTATTGAACTTCTGAACAAATACTAAATTCTTAGTAAAGTGCATATACAAATGCAATGAAAAACAAAAACCAATTGAAGAATGATTTGAAATTATACGAAGTGTGTTCAGGAAATAACGGGAATTTTAAAATTTCGCGGGTTTGGAGAGTCCAATTGTCAAAATTTTTTTTTTATTATGTTGGTATACATGCCCCTGAAGTACAATAAAATTTTCAGCTGTATTCATTGCTTACTTTGTCTGTGGCAGCCGCTAAGGTTAGACGTGTTTTTATGAGCTTGGCGATTTTCGTTTGTTAAAAGAAATGGATCAAAGAATTTGTATCAAATTTTGCGTAAAAAATGAAATAAAGTGTTACAAAGTGTGTGAAATGTTAACAAAGGCCTATGGTGAGTCTGTTATGAGTAAAACAANCACACTTCGTTGCTTGTTCGTGAATTCTTGGCCAAAAACAATACTGTAACGATGCCCCAGCCTCCATATTCGCCAGACATGGCTCCGTGTGACTTTTTCCTATTTCCAAAAATAAAGAGAACCTTAAAGGGCCGTCGTTTTACAAGCATAGATGACATTAAAAGCGCATCGCTGAAAGAGCTAAAGGCTATCCCAAAAATCGAGTTTGAGAAGTGTTTCGATGATTGGAAGAAGCGCTGGCGTAAGTGCATAATATCGAATGGGGACTATTTTGAAGGCGACAACATTAATGTAGACGAATGAATAAATATTTTTTCCAAAATACGGAAATTCCCGTCATTTTTTGAACACACCTCGTATAGCATACAATTAATAGGTGAATTAGACAGGAAGAATTACAGGATATATCAAAACTCAATGGCAAAACTTCAGTAACACATTCCTCATATAGAGAGAAGAAAAAACGTGTATGACAACGTGGGTCCAGAAATGCACAATTACAAAGTTATCCAAGCGTCTAATTTATGGAGTGCACGCCGACACGTCCTGTTTACCAGAATAAAAATGCAAGACACCGGTTACAATTGTTACACAAGTAAACATGTTGCAAATCAATTTGATGTGGGCCTGAATACCTCTTGGACGCGCAGACGATATCCTGTCGTCTCCAGTTAAGTAGCTGTAGCCGTATCCAAAAGCTGTGTATGGCGTCTGTTATCTGTGATTATTAATTGTTGTTTGCAGTCTGCTGTGAAGTAATACGTAATGCACACAAAGAAGAACTCATGAGCATGCATTACATGTATGGTTTGGCGGATGGTAATGTTTTGGAAGCGGGCTGCTTGTATCAGGAATGCTACCCAATGAGCAGACTGTCAGACCGAAAGACATTTGAAGGAATCCATCGCCACCTATGCAAACACGGGAGTTTCGCATGTCCACCAGGCACAGGGGGACAGCCAAGAAGTACAACCCCTGAGGATGAGGAAGCTGTACTCAACGCTGTGGACCAAAGTCCTGAAGTCAGCACAAGGCAGTTAGGCCTGCAGAAGAATATCTCGCACATGACAATCTGGGGACTGCTATTAGAACAGCTCCTGTATCCATATCATCTACAGCGTGTACAATCCTTGTCTCCTGTGGATTATCCTGCAAGAGTAACGTTCTGCCTGTGGTTCCTACAACAATGCGGTGCGACGCCTAACTTCACAGCTGTTGTGTTGTGCACGGGTGAGGCAACATTCACAAGGGATGGAATCCAAAATTTTCATAATCAGCACATGTGGGCGGACACAAATCCCCGTGCAACTATCCAATTGTCTCATCAACAGAGGTTCACCATTAACATCTGGGCAAGCACTGTTGGTGATTGTTTGTTGTGACCCTACATTCTTCCGGGCAAGCTTAATGGACAGAACTACACAGATTTCTTGCGCACTACATTGCCTGATTACTTGAAAGACACGCCACTAGCATCCAGTCGACAGCTGTACTTTATGCGTGATGGTGCTGCCACACATTTCAGTCTGTCTGCTAGCAGGCACCTTAATGCACATTATCCTGGGCACTGTATAAGTAGAGGTGGGCAGATTGCTTGGCCACCACGTTCTCCTGACTTAAACCCTCTGGACTTTTACCTGTGGGGACACAAAGTCTGTTGTGTATTCGACTGCTGTTGCTGATGTACCAACTCTCCATACGCGCATTGTGGCAGCCTGTCAGACAGTACACACTACACCAGGCATTTTTTATCGTGTGCGGCACTCAATGCGACAACGAGCGGAGACCTGTATTTGGGCAGGGGGAGGTCACTTTGAACATTTCCTCTGATATGTGACCAGAGTGTTCCAGCTGGTGTTACAGATGTATTCAGCGTAACAGTGCAACAGTGTTGGGAGTGTTGGGTTGCACTAACATTACTAAAAGGTCGGATAATTCTGTAATTGTGCATTTCTGGAACCATGTTGTCATACGCTTTTTTTCTTCTCCCTATATGAGGAGTCCAATCCTGAAGTTTTGCCGTTAAGTTTTGATACACCCTGTATAAATGAAATAATTAAGACTATGATGAACTCTTCCTTCAAAACAAACATTAAAATTTAAATGCAACTATTCACTGTTGGGTCATGGTAATTTCTTGAATTCATTAAGGCAAACCTATATATGCTCACGGAATGAGCAAACAATCAGCATCAAGGCTTCAATGTTCACTGTTATTACAGAATCCAAATAAAAACCATATACATATATTCATTCATTCATCAGTAATCTGTTAGACGACAGGTTCACAGTCTCTTCCAAAACAGTTCCTCCACTTAATGCGATCTAGAGCTTTCTCCTTCAAATGAGAATACCCTCTTCTGCCCCCAAGGTCATCCAGCATCTTCTTACATCTTCTTCCTCGTCTTCTGATCACTTCTATCCGCCCCTCTGTCTTTCCTTCAGTAACTTCTTTTAGGAGGCAGTTTCTGCGTAAAACATGACCAATCCAATTAGCCTTCCGTTTTCTTATTTCGTGTAGGATATTCCTCTGCTCACTGACTCTAAATAACACTTCTTCATTTCTCACATAATCAGTCCAACTGATCTTCTCCATCCTTCTCCAACACCACATTTCGAAGCTTTCCAGGTCTTTCTGATCTACTGCCCTAAGTGTCCAAGTTTCAGCCCCATACAAAGCAATGCTCCAAATGTAGCATTTCACTAGTTTCTTTCTCAAATTTAAGTCCAATTTGCTAGTAAAAAGATTCTTCTTCTTGCTAAATGCAACTTTTGCCATGGCAATCCTAGATTTAATTACACAAGTACACCTTCCATCATCTGTTAACAAGCTACCCAAATATTTAAAACATTTCACATTCTCCACTTGTTTTTGGTCTATCTTTATTGTGACTGGGGTTGGTTGTCTCGAAATTTTCATTACTTTTGTTTTTTCAATATTCA